CAGCCACAGCTTCTCTGGGCAACCTGTTCCACTGCCTCACCATCCTCAATGTAAAAAATGTCTTCCTTATATCTAGTTTAAATCTCCCCTCTTTCAGTTTAAAGCCATGTCCGCTTGTCCTATCACTACATGGCCTCGTAAAAAGTCCCTCTCCAGCTTTCTTCAAGGCCCCCTTTAGGTACTGGAAAGCTGCTGTAAGATCTCCCCAGAGCCTTCTCTTCTCTTCTTCTCCAAGCTGAAAAACCCCAACTCTATCTGCCTGTCTTCATAGCAGAGGTGCTCCAGCCCTTGGATCATCTTCATGGCACTCCTCTGGCCTCGCTCCAGCAGCTCCATGTCATTCTTGTGTTGGGGGCCCCAGAGCTGAACGTAGTATCCTAGGTGGGGTCTCACGAGAGCAGAGTAGAGGGGCAGAATCACCTCCCTTGACCTGCTGGCCACGCTTCTTTGGATGCAGCCCAGGATACGGTTGGCTTTCTGGGCTGCCAGCGCACATTGCCGGCTCATGTTGAGCTTCTCATCAACCAACACCCACAAGTCCTTCTCTGCTGGACTGCTCTCAATCCATTCTCCACTCAGCCTGTACTTGTGCTTGGGATTGCCCTGTACCCTGCAGGTGCACGACCCTGCATTTGGCCTTGTTGAACTTCATTAAGTTCTCACAGGTCTCAGTCATGCTAAAGCTATGGCTTTAGTGAGTTCTGTCACATGTGTGTCTCTCCACAAGAACCTGTATTCAGGGGTTTCCAGTGCTGAAGTAGCTTCATAAAAGTAAAGAATGTTTTTTATATGTTGTTGCTAAAGCCTTAAAAAAGAAAGCAGGGGAAAACAGGAGAGAAAAGAGTTTGAAAGAATTGTCTACAGATGAGTTGTACTTAAACTATTCTGACACACAACTGTTGTGTGATCAGTCTGATTCCTTTGAACAACTGTTCTACTCATGAGGGATTGTGGGGGGTGGAGGGGGTTGTTTGTTTTTGATTCCGTTTTGGTTTGGGTTTTGTCACTTTTCCTATGGAATGAATTACTATCTAGTAGCATCTGTTCTGTGACCCAGTCCATCAAAGCAGAAAACAGTCTGTAAGGCTGAGGTATGGAGCATAAACCTGAATTGGTTAGATGACAAGGGACCATAAGAATGGCAGAAAAAGGGAACGAGGAATTGCTAGAGTTTTGTTATAACACATGGGCAGTAAACAGAAGAGCAGATGTGAGAAGAAAGTCAGATGCAATCTGCCACCCCAAGACAGAAATTCTGTCATTAAAAGATGGATACTATACATATAGGAGTAACATAGGCTTTTCCAAACATCCTGTTTAGTATATTGTAAAAATAGACCAATTTTTTGTGACGGTTTGCTCTTCCTTCTTGTTTAGTCTGTACTGGCTTGAAGCTATTACAGACATATTGCAGTGATGACTTCTTTTCTAGGCAATAGCTTGACAGCTCCAGCTGTGCCAGTATATCAGATAACCTTTAGAAGGTTGTGGTTCACTCTTTTTCTGGAAGAGATTTGATTAATGATTTAGAGATCGAAAGTTCTACAGCTCGTTGCATGTTTCTGGAGAGGTCCATTTGTCAAGCACTGATGAATGTTATACCTTCATTTCTAAGGTACAAATAGAAGTTCCAGCTGTGGCGCACCTATTGACGTTTTGTGGTGCCAAGCAGTTATGCTATTACATTTAAAATATTGATGTTTTAATCAAATTTTAACATTACGGTTGTGCAAAAAATACTCATTTCAGGTAGTAATGTTTCAGACCTACACCAATCAACACAGTAAACCAATTGAAGCTAAGTATGTCTTTCCTTTGGATGATAAAGCTGCTGTTTGTGGATTTGAAGCTTTTATCAATGGAAAACACGTCATTGGAGAGGTAAAATGTTATCATACTTTACCTTTGATGTAGCTCCGTCAGTCTCAGGATCTGAAAGCCCTTAATTAGTAATGAAGATGCGCAACACTAATTTTGGGTTCTTTCGTGTCTTTTATCGTTACCACTTAACTGGATTTCAAGGTAGTCTGTCATTTAAGAGAATGTTGGTTTTCTGTCCATAGAGATTAAATGACTTAATCTGGAACAATCTTTCATAGGTTAAAGAAAAGAAAAAAGCACATAAGGAATATCGGAAAGCTATCAGTCAGGGTGATGGAGCTTATCTAATGGACCAAGATGCACCAGTATGTTGAATATTGTGGTATAGTACCTGCTTGAAAATTTTGCAGTTGTCCAGTTACAGATTCTTTGCTGAATCACGTCTTTGTTGGGAAACTCCTTTTTACTAGAACTTATTTGGACCATGCATTTGATAATTTTAAAAAACAACTGTTGTTTCTTTAAATATGTGCTATGACTTATATAAAACAGATATTTCTCTCTCAGGTGGTTTCCTTTTTTTGATTGATTTATTCAGTTACTATTGATCAGTTTTTGCCAGAAATTGAGGAATTATTGAAAGTCTGATATTTCATATAATAGTCCTGTTTTCCCTTACACTTCACCAAAACCAAGTAGTAGTTTCTGTGTTAGTGTTTGATTTCAGTGTGCTTAAACACCAAATAAATTATTGTTTTGGAAAACATAGGCTTTAATGATGTAATTAAAGCTAGTTTGTGTTTTATCTTTTTTTTTAGGATATTTTTGTTATAAGTGTTGGAAACTTATCTCCAAATTCTACAGTTGTGATCAAAATCACCTATATCACTGAACTCAGTTTTCAGCACGGTTGTATCACCTTTCATATGCCTGCTTCTCTGTCACCATGGCAACAGGACAAAGCATTAAATGAAAACACACAGGTTTGTTAAAATACAATCTTAAAATAGCGTCTTCTTGTTTTGAAGCAAAAGTTCCATGCCTAGGGGAGTGTAGTTACACAAGAGGCTTCAGTAAGTTCATCATTGTTTTCCTTTTCATTCCTTCTCTTATGTTAGAAGATAGTTGTTTGTAACTATTCTTGTCATAAAAGAACATGAACACAAACCTAGGAATGCTGTGATTGGTAGAAAGCCTCTAACTATCTCTGAGGATGTGTTTGCTCCTGCAGGACTTAGAAAATTGACTTGAGTTGGCACATATTAGATCTCATGTTTTGAATTATCTGTTGTTTCTATGCTGCTGTTCTTCCTCTGGCTTGCAAAGACATTGTGTTATCTCCATCAGGAAACAGCAGCTGAGTATCTGCTGAACACTGTGCTATTATCCCTCTCTGCTTCAGGGACGTTGTGGTTGCCCATCCCTTTCTTTGTATGCCCTTGATGGCTCCTGAATTCTCCAGGTGGGAGGGGAGATCATCTCTGTGTTTAGATGCTGGCAAAGAGCCAGACATGGTCCTTGTGATCCATTGTATAGCTGTATCATATGTCTGCCTGTTCAATAATCGTGTCGTCTGCTTCCAAGCTGTATTATAATGAGTTCTGAAGTTCACCATATCCTTGGGAGGGAAACATGCACAAGTTCATCGGAGTTTTAGGTGCTATGATGCTCCGGTAACAAAGCTGTATGATTAAATGAAGTAAAGAGGGTTCCATGCAATCCCAACTTAGTGATGTAAAAGAGAAAGGACCTCCAGGGTGATAAAAGTGTCAGAAATTACTTACAAATATTTCATAACTGATGCAGCTAATTTTTTTTCTTTGTAGGATACAATAAAAAAGGTCTGTGTTAAACAATTAAACCCACAGAAGAAGTAAGTTGCTTTCATTAATATTGTTATCTGCTTTATTTTATCAATACTTTAAATAATTAAGTTAAAACATTTAAATTTAACAATTTTCTGTTTATGTGGAATATTGGATGGTAAGTTGCATTGTCAAGAAACTAGTTTAATTTCACCTTTCATTCTAATCTGTTGTTATCCTTAGGTAGGTAATATCATAGGGAAATAACTTTTAATTATTACACTCTTATTCTTCACTAAATACTTCCTTTTGTTTAGGAAACATTTCTTTTATTAAGGATTGTATACAAATTCCCAAGTCACAAAACTCAATCAGACCATGATCTTCCTTTTTTTTTTCAATATCACTGCACTTACTATTTTAGCCTTTCTTTGCATTTGCATTTTAAATAAAGATGTACGTTTATCTGAAACTGTGATGTTGCTGCTAGAGTAAGACTCCCTGGAAATTCAGTATTATAATTTTATTCCCAGTAACGTTTCTGCAAATGGCTCTTCTCAACCAGAATAACAAGCAGTGCAGGTAGTAGTCGCAGTAAATGTGTCAAAACTTACTACTATTTGTATTTCCATATTAAAAACCATGAAAAGTGCTTTTCATGAGCATGTCCTAGTTTCTTCTCTGTTCTGTCTGCAAAGCAGGCACAGAAACACATCTGTTACAATTTTCTAAAGTTATATTTAATCTTGAAATGCTGTTTCCTATTACTAACTTGCTTTTATTCAGTACAATTACTGCTGATTAGTAGAAATGGGCATGGTGGTATTGGGTTGACGGTTGGGCTTGATGCTAAGAGGTCCAGCTGCACAGCCCAAGCCACAGAAGGCAAAGGCAGGGACAGGGAGAATAAAGAACTGCCCACTGTAGAAGATCAGGTTCGAGACTATCTAAAGAACCTGAAGGTGGACAAGTCCATGGGACCTGATGAGGTGCATCCGACGGTCCTGGGGTAGCTGGCAGATGAAGTTGCTAAGCCACTAGCCATCATATTGCAGAAGTCGTGGCAGTCTGGTGAAGTTCCCAATGACTGGAAAAGGGGAAACATAGTCCCCGTCTTTAAAAAGGGAAAAAAAAGAAGACCCAGGGAACTACAGGCCAGTCAGTCTCACCTCTGTGCCCAGCAAGATCATGGAGCAGATCCTCCTGGCGACTATGCTAAGGCACATAGAAAATAAGGAGGTGATTGGTGACAGCCAACATGGCTTCACTAAGGGCAAATCCTGCCTGACTAATTTGGTGGCCTTCTGTGATGAGGTTACAGCATTGATGGATAGGGGAAGAGCAACTGGCATCGTCTACCTGGACTTAACCAAAGCATTTGATAACTGTTCCACACAACATCCTTGTCTCTAAACTGGACAGACATGGATTTGATGGATGGACCACTTGGTGGATAAGGAATTGGCTGGACAGTTGCACTCAAAGAGTTGTCGTCAACGGTTCAATGTCCAAGTGGAGGCCTGTGACGAGTGGTGTTCCTCAGGGGTCAGTACTGGGGCCAGTGCTGTTTAACATCTTTGTTGGAGACATGGACAGTGGGATCGAGTGCACCCTCAGCAAGTTTGCAGACAGCATCAACCTGTGTGGTGTGGTCAACACACTGGAGGGAAGGGATGACAGTCAGAGGGACCTAGACGGGCTGGAGAGGTGGGCCAGTGAGAACCTCATGAAGTTCAACAAGGCCAAGTGCAAAGTTCTGCACGTGGGTCGGGGCAATCCCAGGCACAAGTACAGGCTGGGCGGAGAATGGATTGAGAGCAGCCCTGAGGAAAAGGACTTGGGAGTGCTGGTGGATGAGAAGCTCAACATGAGCCGGCAATGTGCACTGGCAGCCCAGAAAGCCAACCGTATCCTGGGCTGCATCCAAAGAAGCGTGGCCAGCAGGTCGAGGGAGGTGATTCTGCCCCTCTACTCTGCTCTTGTGAGACCCCACCTGGAATATTATGTTCAGCTCTGGAGTCCCCAACACAAGAATGACATGGAGCTACTGGAGCGTGTCCAGAGGAGGGCCACGAAGGTGATCCGAGGGCTGGAACACCTCTGCTATGAAGACAGGCTGAGAGAGTTGGGACCGTTCAGCCTGGGGAAGAGAAGGCTCTGGGGTGATCTTATTGCAGCCTTCCAGTACCCAAAGGGGGCCTCCAAGAAAGCTTCAGCGGGACTTTTTACAAGGGCGTGTAGTGATAGGATAAGGGGCAATGGCTTTAAACTGAAAGAGGGCAGATTTAGATTAGATATAAGGAAGAAATTTTTTACAATGAGGGTGGTGAGACTCTGGAACAGGTTGCCCAGAGAAGTTGTGTATGCTCCATCCCTGGAAGTGTTCAAAGCCAGGTTGGATGAGGCTTTGAGCAACCTGGTGTAGTGGAGGGTGTCCCTGCCCATGGCAGCGGGGGTGGAACTAGACAATCTTTGAGGTCCCTTCTAACCCAAACCATTCTATGATTCTATGATCTTAGAGGTCCTTTCCAACCTTAATGATTCTATGATTTTCTGAAATATTGTACTGATCAGCTAGAGATTTGATGCTATTTCTGCCTTATGTCTGGAATAAATTAGCGGGTTCATACACTACACATCCAGTTGTAGAAAAGCAATTTAAAATGATAATACAATTTCATTTTTAATGTTAGGGGAAAATTCAACTAGAAAATATGAGTAAAAATCAGGAAATGCTTAATAATTACTGTGTGAGAATGGAGATCAGGTATCTCTACCTCAATCTTTCCAGCTTCAGGTTCTAGAGGGAGCAGCACAAACGCATCCAAGTTAGCTGCAAACTTATTATATTAATAACATAATTAAGTTTTTCTGGCTGCAGGCTGGTTCTCTCTGCATATAATTTGAGGCTGTGCATATGTATTGCATGTTTTATTCACAAGCATCTTAAGAATAATGGAGATATGGCTGTAAATAGAAAACAGTTGCTCATATGGTATGCAGCGGATACGCAGATTTGTGGTACATTACTAGTAACTATTAAGGCTAGGACTCAGAACAGTCAAGAATATTTATTTAAATGGGCCCATGTAACAAAAATGCTGTAAGACAGACAAATGCAAGGCTACATATAGACGAACTGATTGCAGCATGCACACCTACATCTTGGGAGGTTATATCCTGGAATAGAGAGACTACCAATAACCCAGGGTTTATTACTCACCCATTGCTTCAACAACCTGGAATGAACAACCGTTGTGATATTATGGCAAAAATCACTAATGCAGTCCCAAAATAAACAAACCAAGAAGCACTGAAGAGAAATTATTTTACTTCGTTGGGCAAGACTGACTGAAATCGCCAAAATGCCAATCTGAAGACCTTAAAGAAATAAAAAGCAAACCAAAACATAAAAAAAATCAAAAACAACAACAAAAAACCCAGCCTCAACACCAGTCTACAAACTGAAAAGTGATTCCATGATGTCGTGTGGTATCTTCTGTCTTTTATGTATCTTGTATTGTATGACTGCACCTATCAAATTGCTTTTTAATGTCACTCCAGAAATAAACTGAAGCAAAGTCTAGAAATTAAAGCTGAATAAGAAAAAAAGACATGCAGTTTTAGCAGTGAGGTTTGGAACAGTTAGCCAGGGAAAACAATGAACTTGCCTTCTCTGAAATCCAGTTTGGCTGTCTGTTATGAAGGTTTGCTTTAGAAAATAAAACATTAAGTTAAATGATGAGATAATTGGCTAAAACGTTATGTAACGTGTTATAGAAGTGATCATGTCAAATGACCTCCTGATCCGTTCTGACCTTTTGAGCTATGAATACTCGAAGTGAATCAGCATGGTCATTCTTTGGATATCCTAGGGACAGAAACTTGTCTAACTAGTCCCAGTATTCTCCACTTTCATCCAAAGAATTAAAAAGGACAGGAAATATAGCTCCTGCTCATGGAGATGTCATGGCATGCAGATTAAACATCATCTTCCCAGAGTGCTATTTACGTTTTTTTTCTCTTTATTTAGTGGATTTTCTGTGGATATGTCTATCGAGATGCCATCTAGTATCGAACGCATACATAGTTGGACACATAAACTTAAAATAAAGGTAAATTAATTTCACTGTAACTATGCCTCTGCCTTGGCGGTTCCGCCGTGTGTTTAAGATGGAACTTTTATCCTAGCGAATGCTTGCGCCAGGTCTGTCTGACTTTGTGCACTGCTTGTTCTGCAAACACCTTGGTCCTCTGTTTCTCTTGGATGAAAATTTCTGTTGTGCTTGAAGCCTTTCTGTTTTGGTTGTCTCATCTAAAAATACATTCAGAAAAGTCAATGATATTTTAAAGAATGTAATGCGTAAATCGAAACCGTACCTTGAAAATTTTCTGTAACCTTTTTGGCAAAAAGCTTTGGGACTACCCCTATTACATATGCTGTCATCATTCCCTGTCCTCACAAAATAAATTATATTCACTGTATTGTTATTAAATAAATATTTAAATGTCTATTTTCCCCCTCTTCTAGAGAACAGACTGCAAGGCTGTAATTAAGACTGTAGAAAACAGCTCCTTGGACGTTAGCGGCTTTGTTTTAGATATCTGGATTTCTGAGGTCTACCTGCCTCGAATGTGGGTAGAGAAGCATCCCAACAAAACGAGTGAGGTACTGCATAGCTTGTATTGTTTGTAAGGTAATACTGAGTATGCTAAAACATACTAAATAGGAACAGTTTAGTTTTGATGGGTAAAAGAGGGAGAACAATTTCACATCATGGACAGTGATGAATTTGATCTGTTTTATTACGCTGAGTATTCTCCAGAAATGAGTTTTCTTTTCAGTTACATAGAGTCTTGTTGCTTTGGTTTTATCCTTTGCCTTGTAAGAGAGTAAATGTTTCAACACAGTGTGCAATCATTTCTGTTCAAACACTTCTTTTCTAACTATTGTGCTGCTGTTTGTATTTCATAGAAATGTGACTACGGTGTTTGATACAGATGTTGCTTTTGCAGCAGTGGAAGTGAACAAATAAGTCATGGCTGAGGCTGGAACTGAGTAGCTTCAGAGTCCTGCAATCGCTATTCTAATTAAAAATAAGTAATATTTTAAACCATTTGTGGCGCTATATTTACAACTTACACATAAATATTTATAGAATCTGTCAGTGGTTTATTTTAAGGCATCTGGCCTTCCTAGCAGATTTTGCATTCTGTTGTAGTTATTACTGCTGCAGCGATTATTCTCCAAGGCATTTGAATCTTTTTGTTTTCAGTAATAAGTGAAAAAGATGTTTCTAGCACTCTAGATCACCCAGAAACAGAATCCAGGTATGGCTATGTCACAGCAGAACTCATTATCACCACTGGAAAACATTAATAAAAGTTTAGTGGGAAAGGAAGGATCAGTTCAACCCCTTTTACCTCCATGCACAGTAACTCCTTGCCTGAGAAACGCATTTAAAACTTAAGAGTGTATCTTAAAATATGTTTCCAGGTTATTAGAAGCTTTTTCATTCTTCTACATTTTTTGTGAAATCCCTGGCACTTTTAGTTATTTTCAACTCCTTTTTAGTTATTTTTTTCTTAAATAAGATAAAATGCTGCAGAGGTGAAATGTAAAGTCTTGGTGTTACCAATCTATCAATTCAATGTTGAAATGGATAAAATGACAGATAAGATTGTTTTCCTTCCTACAATGATGTCTTTTATTTTTCTTCCTTTTAATCAGAGTTGCTTAGTTTAAATGTATTAGTTTAGGGATTTCTTTCTGATGACTGCAATAATATTGGTATTCCCTCAAGGAAAGGAGAAAGAGATTCCTATTTATGTTTCCAAACTGCAAACCTTTCCTTCCCTATTGGAAACACTTTCACTCCTTCAAGCATTTCATTGTTCCACTTTTGAAAGCCTTTGTTTTTTACAGCATCTCTGTTGATAGCAGGGACAGTATGCACAGTATTTGGTTTACATATTTTTTAATTCTAGTACTTCTCACAAACTGGTGGTGGCAGTGATGATTGTAAAAGATATCTGTGATTTTTTTTTCTTTTTTTTTAAACTAGTAAAAGAGAATCCAGTGCTGTTTGCAGAGGAGTGAATCAGATAGGAACATGAAACCACAAAATTCCTTTTTCAGTTTTTCATGTGAGACCTGGGATATAGGTAGAGGACGGGGAAGTTGCATTTCTCAGGCATTAAGAGAATATGACATGTATTTGTTAAAACTTTGAAATATGGCTGTATTCTGCTTTCCTTCCATCATAAGAAAAATGAGAATACGTGAGTACACTTCTAATGAAATAGTATCTGTCCACCGTGCTGATGATTTTGTTTCTCCCTCTGTAGGCTTGTATGCTTGTATTCCAACCAGAGTTTGAACCAGAACTTGAAGAAGAGCAGCTGTCCAGTGAAATTATTATTTTACTAGATTGCTCAAACTCTATGGCAGGTTCAGCTCTACACCAAGCAAAGCAGATCGCTTTACGTGTTTTGGAACTATTCTATTTCAGACAAAGAGTGAATGTAATCAAATTTGGCACAAGTGAGTTTCTCTATTTCCTTTTTACCTGAAAGCCACCTTTTACCTTCTTGTTATGGCTTTATTTTATGTACATCATTATTATCAAACCAGTGTAACACACTCAACTGCAACCCGGAACATGTAGCAGTATGAAATACTTCTGCTCTGATATTCCAGTCATGCAACTTAAACTGTGTTTCCATATTGTTGCTACATGCTTCATATTTTAATGCTCTTAATATCAATCTTTATTCACAGATTTCACAGAATTGTCTTCTTTTTCAATGAACATCACAAATGATTTGGCATCACTGAAGGAGTTTATTACGGTAAGTAAATCAGTCAGGTTGTATTCCAAAGAATGCTTCTTTGTATGGGATGTGTATCATTGCAAAACTCTGTTACGCAACTTTTCCTTTTATTTTTATTTTTCTTTGGGCCAGCTTCTACGATTTTTCTGTAATTTAGTCTATTTGATGTCTGTTTCTCCTAGTAACAGGCACAGTCACATCTGGATATTAATTCCAGTTTGGTTTTAAGCAATTGCTTAAGTTGTTATTTTGAAGCTGAGTAGCTATCAATATTAGACCATTTTTCAGTGTTTCCTCCTAAATTTATCTTTTGGAGTTTCAAACCTCTCATTGCCTGCTCAAAGCAGAAAGAGAGGAAATTATTGATGACTTTTTGGAAATCTGTAATTTGTAAGTGAAGGCAGCACTTAGGCCAAAAGACTTTCAGTGAAAATGAAAGTGCTTCTGTCACCAAAAATGAGATGTAGACTACTTAGGACAACAGGTTTTGGTTAGTATCATGTCTGTTCTGGTCAGTGCCAGAATTAGGCTTCTTATCTGTAACTAAAGCTCCTTGGTGCCAGCATAATGTGTAAGATACTAATATAATGGATGTCTTGAAAATGGGGTGGTAAGATGCAAATGGTGATCAATGCAGAGTAACACAAAGGGAAAAACAACACTAACTATACCTGTACAATGTTGGGCTTCACCCAGAAAAGAGATGCTGGAGCCATTGCGCACAGTCATTTTTAAATGGTATCCCAGTGTTCAGCAGCAGTGAAAAAGGTAAATGCTTAGGTAGCTGTAGAAATCTGTATTGCTATGGCATCTTGAATACTGGATGTGCTTCTGGTTACTCCATCTCAAAGAGAAAAGCTAGAGAGACAGAAAACAAAGATGGTCAGATATATGGAAGGCTCGCTGTACAAGGAGAGGACTTGTCCTGACTTTTTTTAGCTTCTGTTGAATCCTTACACAGTACTCTCTTTTCCAGGATAAGCAGAGGAAAAGGGGGAATAGGAATGGTTACTTGCTGTTCCTCACCTCTTAAGGATCACAGGACACCCAGCAAAATGATCAGTCAGCACATTTAAACTAAAATACAAACAGTGTTTTTCATGCATAATAGTGGAACATCTTGTGCTTGATGTAGAGGCTAAACTGTAATTCAGTTCAGAAAGTAGGTTAGGCAAAATAAAAGGTAGAGTGGTAAATAGCTTTTTAGATACAGTAGTCTGGATGAAAATTCCAGTTCCAAAGTCCCCAAACTGCTGATTACTGAAAGCTCTGAAAATAATGTAGGAGAAGAATTTACCATTTTTTCTTCTCTATTTTGCCTGTGTCTTTTGCCTAAGCCAGAGAAGATACAGGACTAGATTAACCTTAAGCTCTATCTCTAATAGTAGTTATAGAAGAGCAGGAGCAAATAAAACTTGAGAATTAATCATTTATATTTGAAACCAGGAGTCATGTATAATGAAATAAAGATTAAATTATACGTTATATGTTATTTTATGATAAAATAAATTAAATTCAAACTAAAATTGTAATGCTTTACTTTTCAGTCCGCTACTGCGACATTGGGAAACACTGATTTATGGAAGATCTTACGTTACTTAAGTCTGCTGTTTCCTTCTCAAGGATACCGTAACATTCTTCTTATATCAGATGGACACATTCAGAATGAGAGTGTGACCTTCCAGATTGTGAAAGATAATATTCAACATACAAGGTTATTTACCTGTGGTGTTGGGTAAGTACAAAGTTAGCTAGCCGTTGCATTTGTTTAAAATCACTGATAGTTTATTTGAAATGAGAGGTTAATAAGCTGAGAACTGTCAGATGCTTGAGTGTACTGTCTTAAATATATATGTATGTTTAGATTAAATAAAGAAATGTTTGCCTACCTTTAAAAGCAGAATGGAAAATATGTAAGGAATTTCAAAGGTCAGATGCCTACAATGATGTTAATTCTATGTCCAGGTAGTCTTACCTATTCAGATCTTTCCTCATTATAAAAACTTTACTATTTAGGAGTATTATTGGACAATACAAGAGTTAATGTTTTAAAACTTTGCATTTCATGTTTTAGTATAGTCTCATTTGAATAGTGCGATTTCAATGCAATGTTAATAGTTGGATAATTTTATTATTTAATTTTCATTTGTAAGGTAATTACTTAAAGAAAGCACTAGACTTCTCAGTGATCAGAAGAACAGGCAAAACCTCACTGAAATTCATTGTAATGCAGTTTGACTGTTTTCAGTAATAGCAAACTGGAAAGTTATGTACATGACTGAAACAACTTTTAAAAAAAAAAAACTGAGTCACAGTTACATATTTCAGGTTGCAAGGCATAAATGGGAAAGGGTCAGGAAGGTGTTAGGTTCTTACCATATCCTGGGAGGGCTGGCAAGGATACATCAAAATAAAGACTAGTGGTGAGGGTCATGTTCTTCTAAGACTTTTTTTTTAATGACACCTTCACCATAGCTCCTGCAGCATTCCCCAGATCTCTGGGCTGTGGGCTCTCTTCCAGCACTGGGCAAGCACTGGGCAAGGCCCCGTACCAGACATCCCAGTGCTCTTCCAGAGTAATTGTATGTTATTACTATAAAAGAATTTGCATCAACACACAATAAAGAAGAGATGGTATGTGTCCATTAGCAGCACACTGACACCATTGTCAACATATTGACATTCCTGGTATGTTCATGTTCAGCATATTTACATTCATTGATTATCGGTTATTGATATGATGGACCTAGCTCTGGCGATGGATTATCTCAGTGCTGGTAGTCTGAGAGGGCAGGCTTTTATGCAACAATCTGCTTTCAGTAGGCAGGATCTGTATTTAACATGTCACATTGGTTAAGTAATAATGGTGAAGAGGTATGAAAGAGAAGTTCACAGTTCACTGTGGTTCTTACTCTTGTGTAGACAAAGAGAGTGTTTTCTAGAAGGCCGAATTAATGCACAATACTACATCTGTTTTATCTGTGGTAATTCTCTGCAAGTAAGTAAAAAAAAATAAATAGTGCAAGATTTGTACTTTACAGATGGTACAAGGCAGCAAAATCTATAAAAGGACTTATAAAAGAGCAGTAAACTTTAAACCCAAGATGTTTTGTGTTCTTAGCATAGATATAATTGTACTGTTTAATTTTGGCTTGAGAAGTTTTGGTGAAGATTCACTAGGTCACTAAGACAGTGGTATGGTCCTGTTGGGGAATGAGGCTACTTTCTGTCTGACGAAGATTTGATACATACTATGCTGTTTCTCACCCAAAAGAATTCTCATCTGCTTAATTGTTCTCTTTTAGTCCTCTATAAAGCTCTCATTCATACATATACCTATGAAATAGCTTCCCAGTAGTCAGACTGTTGGTGAGCAGAGCTTGCTGTTTTATCAGGCTAGTTACCATGCTGGTTATATCCATGTTGTTCAGATAGTGACATTCCCTAGCCGACACTGGACTTAGCTGTAAGATACCTATGTTGATGCTAAATAGCTGTGCTGAGACTGAGGTTAATTAGTTCAAAATCAGGATCGTTTCGATGCAGTCTTATTGGTGTTTGAACCTAATTTAATTTCTCTGTGCAGCTCTGCACTGTGACATGTAAAAACTTGTGTATCCTGTAATTTCCTCGAATGTTGTTAGGAAATCTCTAATATGGCATCACATTTGTTGGCTCAGTTGCTTTCAGTTGGTCTGTCCACTGAAAAAGGGATAGAATTTTAAAAATTCAGATTCGCTTGCAGTGCTAATTAAAATGAAAATATATATAAATGTGAATAATTTAATTCAGTAATTACATGAAGTATTTTTTTCATTAGTTCCACAGCAAATCGACACTTGCTGAGATCTTTATCCCAATATGGTGCTGGAGCGTTTGAATACTTTGACTTGAAATCAAAGTATAACTGGGAGGCAAAGGTACATTTATAAATCTTGACTATGTTGAGTATGTGATCAATATCTGATACTGCATATCTTCAGTATCTCAAAATGGGAATTACTACTTTTCATGGGATCATGTGGCTTTGCAATTACAATAAGATAGTTCAAGAAACATTTGATAGAAGGTGGAAGGAGAGAGGCTTGTCCATTAAGCCTTCATTTATTTTAAATATAAATTGATACTAAGTGAGAAAGAGAAGTATTTAGTTTGAGTATTATGAAGGTGCCTTATTTTCA